GTCTCACAGACGTACATTCCTGCTGGGCTGGCTTCAAATCATGACCCTCAGGAGTAGATAAGATTACAAAAGTGAGCCACCAGTGCCTGGCTTGAATTTTGTTTTGTTTTCTTTTTTGGAGGGTGGGGGAGAAGGGTGCAGAAAGGAGGAAGAATGAACAAATGCAACCATGCTATTTAGTAGGCACTATGTGGAAAGTGAACCATGTAACTTATGAGTAAGGACAAGAGAGGAAAACTGGGGGAAAACAAAGAGCGGGGTGACATTGTCCCTGCAAAAAGAAATGTATTCATGGGGCTGGGAAGGTGGCTCAGTGGTAGAGCGCTTGCCTTGCATGCCTGTGCCCCTGGGTTCCATTCCCCAGCACCACATAAAGAAAAAAGCCGGAAGTGGCACTGTGGCTCAAGTGGTAGAGCGTTGGCCTTGAGCTGAAGAGCTGAGGGACAGCGCCCAGGCTCAGAGTTCAGGCCCCACGACCGGACCCAAAAAAAAAAGAAAAGAAATGCATTCATTACCTGACTTATGAAATAGTAACCCCCTCTGTACAACACTTTAATAACAACAGTAAAATGACATCAAAAAATAAAATAGGTAATTTACAGCATCTTGAAGGTGCCCAGACTCCAGCTACTTATTGGATTCCACTTGAAAATGAGCCACATTTCCTTGAGCAGGTGCTTAGGGTTTCTTGGTGTTTGGCCCAGCTTGGTCCACACAGGCCTGGCTTGTGCTTCCTGGGTGGGCGGGGCAGGGATAGAGTGAGTGGGCTGCTTACAGGGTGACAGACATCTCCTGTTATTTGAAGATTGGGATCTGACCTCAGGCCTGCTAGCAGTGTGCTTGTGCTTCTGTGTGTGTGTGTGTGTGTACACATGCTAGTTTGGGGGCTTGATCTCAAGATTGGGTGTTGCCTCTTAGCTTTTTCCATTCTAGACTGTGCTCTAGCATCTGAGCTATACCTCCACTTCTGGCTTTGTCTTTGGTTGTTTCCCTTTTTTTCTGGTTAAATGAAGATTAGACTCTCTCAGATTTATTGGCCTGGCCTGGCTTTGAGCCACAATCCTCCCATCTCAGCCTCCAGAGTAGCTAGGATGACAATCATAAGCCACCAACATCTGGCTGAAGGCAGAAGTTTTGAGTTCCCTCCTAGCCTTCCTTCCTGGCCCTAACTCCCCTCCATCCCCTCCCCATCCAACCAGACCCTGCTGCCTTGATCCAGCCGAATGCCCTGCACCTGCCGTTCCCAAATGCCAGATGGAGGGTGGACAGGCAGAGGGCAAATC